AGTGCACAAAAAGTGTGCACGTGATCTAATATTTTTGTGCTCTCACTCATCTTGAGTTCATTATACTTTTTCATGGCTAATGATTATTTTATAAGTGATGGATCTGCATGCTCCCTTTCAAGTCTCTCGTGCATCTCTTTTGTCGTTCTCATTGACTCATCTTCCGATGCATATGAGTCGACCATTGCGCAAAGCAAGATATTCCTTGTTCGCGTATTTTTGCGCTTCCAAGTAGCGTATTTATCCTTAGCATCTTAAGATGAATCGTTACTTGGACTACAAGGACGACTTTCAATCAAGATCTCATCCAACTCCTCAGAAAGCACATATCTGATGTTGCACTTCCAAGATGAGTAGTTGGACCCATCAAACCTCTTAGTTTTTGGGATCTCGGAGATGAAAGTTTGAGCGGCCATCTGTCTCTCTTTCCCAAAAGCAATATAGGACTCAATAAAAAGGAAAATAAATTTAATTCTAGAGGTAGCTAGAAACCTCGCTCTGATATCAATGAAAGGACTTTATGATAAAGCACGGTGTATATATTTTAAAAAACAATTTATTTTATTCCTACACCGGCAAGATCATTTACAATGTTCAATTACAATTAAACCACTCTTAAAAAAAAAAAAAAAAAGAATCAGTTCTCAATTGCTACATCTTCAAATACAATTCTTTTATTCAACAAGCAAAACTAGACTTTTATTGCTTTATGGGAAAAGAATATCAAAACGTAAATAAATATTTAAAAAAGTAAAATTACCGGAGATTACCTCAACCGGGCTTAGTATACCCCACTCCGAGTCTCCTCCTTCCATGGTGCTCGGGATCTGTGATCGGCATGTTGATTTCCTTACTATGGCAAAAATCCACTCAATGGCTTAATCTTAATCAAGCTTCTTAGCTTGATTTTAGAGGGATGAGAGATGTATATCAAGAGAGAGGGAAAGATCTACCAGCAAGGGGTTCACCCCTTTGCCACCCACAAAAAAAAACATCACTTAGGCTTAGGCGTGCCACCCAAAGAGAATCACCTAAAGAGAAAAAGACACCCAATACAATTTGGAGAGAGAGAGAGATAAAATTGTGGCGTGCCTAAAAATTCGAGTGTGTCTCCCTTTGGTAATCTTTCTAGAAAGAGCTAAATTTTGGGGTAGAGAGAGAGAAAAATACATACATAATTTGTTAAAGGGTAACACCTCATTTTATAGATTTTCTATACCATAGATTTTGCCTCAACTCGTAGGGTCAAATCTCAACTGTCGATCTAAGGATACTTGTGGGGTGAGAGATTTGAGCCATCCATCTCTTTGATCCACCATCAAGATTCAAAGAGATGAGCTAGAGCCTTATCCTCCCTTTCCTAAATCTATTCTCATCAAATAAAAAAAGCTTATATTTTAATATATCAAATCCTTAATTATTGAATCAAGATTGGGATTAAATAAAGAAAACTTATATTTTAATATATCCAATCCTTAATTATTGGATCAACCAATCTTGATTCAAAGATTTAGTAAATATCTCAAATATTCAACCTTATCATAGCTATACCAAAAAATAAGCCGACAACAAGAGATAAACATTCTTCCCAATAAGAATACGTGAATGGGTAGGGCGTGCCAGCCGTGTGGCCCCACCTAATCCACATGTATTTAAATTTTGAGCTCCATATTTTATGGGGGTCCCATAGATTTTAAGAAAATATTTTATTTCATATTTAGAATTTTTTAAATCTTCTATTTTATTTAAAACATTTAAAATTTAATTTCTCTTAATTTATAAATCCAAATGACAAAAATAAAATATCATAAGATTCACAAAAATTCAAATAAACATTCTAAAAATCAAATAGCATAAAATTAATTAAAACTAATTATTTTTTATAGGAATCGGATCCGTTAGATCTAGAAAATTATCAATACATGGGAGCACTTCATCTTCAACTACGAATCACAATCCGTCTAGCTTTCTTAAACTGACCCAGCAATTCCCATGACCCACAGTCCACTGCAGGGGTTCATGATTAGATCATCAAAGTCAATCAATAGACTAGGAGAGGCAATCCGAGTTTATAGATTTCAGATTCTCCCCTAGAGACAAAAATCATGGTCCTCCAGACCATGATGCAACCATGACTTATGGTGCATGTGGGTAATCTCTTGCACATGTACACGTTTCATCCTCATTGGCGAATCTCAAAATGGTTATCTATGTACATGTCGAATGATGATATAACGATGAGGTTTTAACCCTGTCTCTAAAAGATATTCATCACATACAAGGGCCACGCAGTCCACTGACTCTCATCTGGGCATATTCCGACCTCATCAAGGGATAACTCACTAAACCATTATCGGTAGGTCTTTATGCCCAAGTATCTTGTTTTTCCAAACCTCGGTTGGCCTAGCTCGTCGAGCTTAGTCCGAGTATCAGCAAATAATATTTGCCTAGTATGGTCCACAAAAGGACCACACTCCCACTGAGTTTATGTTTCATGTATTAAATATGTTTTACATAGTTTCTCATAAGGTCGTTAAAGGCCACATAAACCCAACAGGGGGAACACAAGATAGCTCTTGATCCATCACAAATCAAACCTCTAAAATTAATTTGGCTTGGAGCTTAAAAAAAACCTCCAATTCTTCTACTTCAACTGCACAATCAATGGATGATTCCAATCTGATTAGAGATCACTATTAATTGGCACTGATTAAAAAAGGAAAAAAGATTATATAAGGTTGCAACCTTATACTACAAAAGTGAGGTGCACCTCAAAAATCTTGTAAAAAAGAGTGTTCTAAATTTGGAAAACCTTCAATCGATCAACTCGATCTCAAAATGTATAAATATTAAAAATAATGCATCTTGTAACATATCATCTAAACCATCTATTTTCAAGTGTTTATAGATACCTTCACTAAGGGTATGGCCTTTAATATAAGAGAATGGTGGGCCATGATTCGCGTGGTCGACTCCAATTAATTAAAAAATAAACTCTGATGATAGATATACTCAATTTGTACGATTTTAAAAATTATAATTTTATAATTAGGGTTGAATATAGATTGTGAAGCGATAAGGCTTTTGGACACTAGAACTACATCTTATATGTACAAACCTCACCCTTAGCCGAGATTGTGTAACATCGAAACGCCCAAGACATCCAAAATACAAAAGGAGAAAGTCCTAAAGATGGACTAAAAATGCAAAAATGACATAGCTCAACAACTTACCAAACTTATAGGGCTTTCCGAAGATCCATAAATTGCAAGAACCCCAACAACCAAAACAGTTTCCGATAAAAAGCAACCAAGTGAGTCTCACAGGCCAACACTTTTCATTTAAGGCTTCCTACCCTCCCCATGTTTAGACATGAGAGAGAGAAAAAGAGAGAGTAGGGGTGGCAATGGACTCGGACTTGAGGCGTAGACCCGATTCGGGTCTTGGCATGGGTCCAAAAATTGGACCGAGCGGGTCGGGTCCAGGTTCAAATCTTGGACCCGAATACTATTTGGATCCGGATAATATTTTTTAGGTCCCAATAAATAAAATATATTTAAATATAGTTAAATACATAAATATTTTTTGGGCTTCCGGGTCTAGTTCCACACTATATTTCCAAGTCCACATCCGATGAATACTGATCTGGTTGGGTCCGGATCCCATATCACTTTTTGGATCCGGGTCCAGTGAATTCTGATCCGGTCAGGTTCACATCCCATATATTTTTTAGGTCCGGGTCTGGACGGACCCATACCCAAACCCGACCCGACGTGAGAGAGCACCAGAATGTGGTTGGGCAGAAGAGCCAAAAGAAACCTAAGCATAGTGACAAACGGGAGATCCGGGCTTACCCAAACAGAACTTCTAAATTTAGTACCAAATCCCAACCACAATACCCAATCATTCACTCCCAATTCAACTCAATGACGCATCTTCATAAAGCAACCCAAGGAAACATTGTCAAATAAAAACAAAGCAACCCAAGTAAAAAACAACACAAATTCCGATCCACTCTTCACTAAGTAACGCACAAGTGAATATCATTTCTTCCATATCCACCCATCAGAAATTCAGTAGGGGCGGCATCCGGGCCACCCCTGGCCCTAGTTCCCAAACCTAGGCCGGCCCAAACCCGGACCAGCCTTGGCATAGGGCCAATCCTGGCTGGGGCCAAATAGAATCAAAGAAACATAAATGACAAAAATAATAAAGGAGAAAGGGCTAGGACGGCCTTGTCTTGGCCTTGGCTTAGGCCCAGCTCAGCCCTACCCAGAGACCATGATGACCCAGCCCTTGAATCACATTTTGGCGGCCCGGGACATTCACGTGGCCCATTGCCATTCCTAAACATCAGGTCTTAATGAAAACAATTTTTATTCGAATGGTACAAGTCACTCAACTTTAGGGTTTTTCAAATTAGAATTACTCACAAGCTGATTCTCAACCAACTCGAGTGATTCTGAATAGGCTCAGCGATTGTTTAGACTCGAGTTCAACTGAAGCAAAGGAAACCCTAAGTTTTACTTATTAAAAAGAGGCCTGGGTATTCCAATATAAAAAACTCTCAAGATTCTAGTATTACCCCACACACATATTTGGCTGCCACGTGACTACAGTGCATGGACTTTTCTAAGTTGTTTATTTTGGTTTTTAAATAATTAAATGGGGTGTTTTGTTTTTTTTAAGGGCACGCCTGGTTTGTGGCTTGGGGGACAACCTTCTCTGATCTTCTCTTTCACAAAGACGAAGGGAATGTCTTTTTGCATCGATTAATGAACATGGCAGGTTCACTTTTAAAATAAACCAATGCTAAACTTGAACAAAACCCAAAACAAAAAAAGGAATAAAAATAAGCAACTTTGCAGTAAAATGGTATAATAATAAGCACCAGCTTTGATCTGCAAAAGATGTTTGTTTTTTTAACTTAATCATCAGTGAAATTATTATAACTTTTTGGCTTTGGACATGTAAAGCCTGAGAAAGGAGCATTATGATGAGATGATTAAGAATGCATTGGTTTTGATTAATCTCATTTCATCTCATTATACACTCATAATTGAACCCAACATCAATGATGGATGGATGATTAAGATTTAACAACACGTAGATTTTTATCATCTCATCTCATGCACAGATAGCTGAAACCCCACATGAACACATCCATCATTAACATCATGTCATGCCCATTAATACATGCTAATCAATTTTAATGGTGATCAACAATGAGAGAGAAATAACAGTCCCATGTGGTGGTGATCAGTTGAAGGGGACGAGGAGATGGAGTGGGTTCGTGGACGCGGTGCAATTCATGGTGGTGTCGAGCCTATTGCCTAGTGACTCGAGTGCAGTAACCTGTGATCTCAAGAACTTGAGATAATTTGCTGCTTCGTCAAGCATCGATGCGGTGTCCATCTTTGTGCCGCCAGGAACAAGCCTCTGCAGAACCCTGATTCGATCGCTGATTCTCTCTCTACGCCTACGAGCGGCTGCGGTTTGAGGATCATCTGATATCCTGACATTCCTCCTCTTTGGCTTATCAATTACCTCCATTTCCATATTTACAGGCCTAAAGGCAGCTGCTCTATAAAACATTTCCTTCATGGTAGCCATGGCCTCTGCATCAGCCTCAACATAGGAAGAGTTGGCCTGAAAAAATTCAATGGTCGAGGTTTTCTGGTGCTTTTGAGACCTGGGTCTCTTGGATTTTGGTGGATTCTCATAGATGAGCTTAAAACCTTGATCTGAGCTTGAAGAGTTGGTCTGAACCAGATCAAAGTAGTGATGATGATTATTGATACTTGGGTCCTGCTTGGGTTGTTGCAAAGTTTGAATCGAGAGAGACCTAGGCTTTTTTACCTGATTTCGGATTGAATCTTCTGCCTCTTCGGTTTGTTTCCTGATGGTTTTGGGCCTTGAGGGACCTGAAGGTCCTTGAGAGGCTGCCTCATCCCAGTCTGTGAATGTTTGCCCCAAATCCAAATTGCCATTACTGAGTTTTGATGAAACACCATCATCTTCCATAGAAGTGTTATCAAAATTGCTGTTTGTTTCAGATAGCAAACAATCCAGCGATTCTATCGAGTTTGTGGTAGAAAGCACAACGTTACTATCATCTTCATTAATGCTTTTCAGACCATGATCAAGACCTTGTGACTGTAAACATTTTTCTGATTTCTTAGCATCCTCCATGTAATCAGAGATTTTGTTCATGTAAGACCTGCTTGCCAGAGGTGAGGCATTTAATTGAGTGCTTAAGGCTTCGCTCCAATTCGTTCCAGCCCCTGATTTCGCTAAGACTGCATCAGCTGCTAATCTAATGGCTTCTTGGCGCTGGGACATGTTCAATCCAGAAGAACTATTTATCATATCTATAGCTGGGACAAGCTGCATAAGCATTTCATCAACTGGAGCATAAGAACTTGAACCATTACCACACATTTTGAAACCTTGAAAATATGGGTTTAAACAACAGTAATTCTCTGTGCGCAGGGATACTGTGCTATTAATCAGGCTATCATCTGAAAGAGATTGCAGTGAGCTATGAGAAGCTGACATTGTTGGGATCTCATGAGAGGTTTCAGACATACAGCTCCATAGACTAGACTCAGATGGGTTCCCCCACTCCAAATCTTCCATTGTTGAGGCAAATTGTAGTAGTTCACAAGTTGATAGGTTCAGGTCACTGGTTCCCGAGAGCTATTTTTGATATCTGCAAAACTAAAAGAAGATCCATCAGTGAACTATTCGAAATTCTCAGGATTTTACTAGTCCAAAGACTTCTTGACAGAACAAAGATGTCTTGAGATTTTAAATTCCAGGCATCAGAGGTATGAATTATTCCCATGTTCGATGAAGTGATAATTTATAAAGACAGGTTTAAGATTACAAAACAATAAAAAGGAAGGAAATTGTAGCTGTGTTCGAAGACAAACCACACCAAACCAGATCTTTAGAACTGGCTGTATACTATGTTGAACACTTTTTGAATATCTATAGATAAGAACAGGCATGTTTATAATGACCATCTGATGGCTCATTGGAACATAAGGACGGGCCCATCCTATTTTTTTAATGAAATCAGAATATAACTACTCATCTGAATGTAAACTGACTTATGATTTAGCAAATAATATTGCAGAATTCAAACTCCACCTCCGTTCTAAGAACACCCAAAATAATTTTTTAGCAACAGGGAGCTAAAAGGGGAGAGGGGGGGAGAAGGAAAAAAAAAAAAAGCCAAACCGTCATCAGAATTGGGCACATGAAATCTCAAACAAAGATATTATGGACCATTGTTTGCATTGAGTACCCAGAAACTGCACCAGTGAACTAAAGCTTGAAAACAAGCCATGCTTATGAGCAGCTAAAGCTCACCTTAATGAAAGGTTCCAAAACCCAAACTATCAGGATCTTAAATGAGAAAGGCCACCATCCAAACAGCTCCAGAATACAAAAACCAGAAAATAAAAACTCTAACTTGGCCAAATCTGAATGAGCACCTATAAGTTAGCTTTCTTGCAAATCTGCCTATATACACACACCCATAACTATCTAAAGTTCCAAAAATAAATGTACTTAGGATTAGTTGTCTCTAAAAGAGTGCAGTTTCCATGCTTACATGGATCTTTAGCTATGCATATGCTAACGTCAGTTCGAAAACCGAAATTTGTCATTTGATGTAATAGAGACAACACCCAAGAATCTCTAGATTTCTCAACACATAAAAGAAACCATTCCTAGCAATCATACTCTATATAAAAAGAAGTTAAACTTTAACCAAATCTATTGACTCTAACCATCAATTCTTTTACCATGAATTTGGGGAGTGAAGAGTAGCATGAGAATAGTGTGAAAAAAACATTAGGAGAGAGAGAGGGGGGTTGTCTTCCCCTACCTTGGGATTCCTTATTGGAAAGCGCTTTGGCCCAACAGGAGAGAAAGGAAGGCAAAGTGAAGGCAGGCTTAAAAAGATGAGGACCATGCACAGGAATCTATACGAAAGGAATAGTTATATATGTAGGAAGGAAAGAGAGAGAAAGTGTCAGAATTTAAAAAGATAAGAGTTTTAGAACATTGGGTAAGATGTCTGGAAAAGGCCTGCACCCTGTTTTGGTTGTTTCTGCCATTTCATGCGCCCTGCCAAAATACAGCACCAAGGTATGAAGTTAGTACCTTACTGGTCCCTCAACAATGGAAGCAAGTTAACAAATAACAAAAAGCCTGACTCTATCAAACTCCTAGTGACTTCTTGTAACTTGTGCCTTAGCATCAAGTACAAAATGATAGTTATGGCCTATAATTGATGAAGATAGTAATGAAAATCACTTTATAATATTCACTACTACTGTTACCACTAACTGCTAACTGCCATTATAGCGACATGGACATTGCTGAATGAAGACAGCAACATGGACTGAATTGAATTCTATTGATGGTATCTTATCATTCGAATTTTGTCCTTCTTTCTTTTTTGTTTTTCATTATTCATCATGGAACAAACTAAATAACAAGGGCTGCATAACCACCTTCTGAATCAATCAAATCAAGTTTAGAAATGGTGTTTTAAGTACTCGGCCAAGTCCACTCAGAGTCGGCCCCGGTCGAGCAGAGTACCTGAGTACTCCAATAATTTAAAAAAAATATATCCCTTTCAATATGGATCAATGCATAATAATTATAAAAACTTGTAGGATCCATGTATAAAAAGTAGCATGCAATTTGGATGTGTCTTACAATTATTTGTGAGCTTTTATTGGCAGATGCCATATTTTTGTATTTTCCTTTTTTGGATTTTTTCGGAAATGCTTCCAACCATAAATCAATCTATTGTAAATCCATTTTTTTATATATTGTTCAGATTGTTTGTATTTGTTATGTCAATTTGTAGTTTTGTTTCACTTTTCCAGTTTTTATTTTATTTTTGACCTTATTTTTTTTTGTTTAAATTTTTTAGGGCTTTTTGGGCCATTTACATTTACTCAGCTCTGGCGAGGTCCGAGTCCGAGGCTGGAGCCAATTCTAAAAACATTGTTTACAAATGTTGCCTTAATGTTGTGGGTTGAATAGTGATGTAAAGATTCATGAATAATAAGCAAAATCTAGTTGCACTAATGATGTCCATAATCATTTATTAGGTGAAAAAGGCAAGCTCAAGAGTTGAGAGAATGCAGCAGAGCTTGGGATAAGCAAATATTGTGCAGCTCACTGTGCAAGTTGCAAAAGGGGAGTAGAATAATGATAAGAAAAATACATTTGAGGATGGCTTCAACACTTGAAAAGAGAGCAAAAAGGACTGCCATGAGTCAGAAGCAAAGGGAGCAGGCAACTTGCTCCTAGGATTTTGTCTGGTTTTTATCATATTTGTTTATTCAATTCTTTATTTTTATTCATCTCCACATTCATAGCACATTGTTGTTAATATGGTATATTCAGAGTGCCTCTGAATGAACCCCACATGCTTATCATGATTACAGCGCAGTGAATGGGGTGCCATTGCTATGATCAGGTAATGCACACACCCACTGCTTCCCCATTTATCTCAAACCTTCTCATTTATTCATACCCACAGTTTCGTTTTTACTCTCTCTTTTTTCTCTTTGTCTTTTTTTCTTTTTCTTTTCTTTAGAGAGAGAGAGAGAGAGAATTTTATTGTCAAATAAAAAAGAAAAAAAAGATGAAAATCCATTGGAATAGAAAACTTTGGAGAACCATTACTAACAGAAGCACTACTGTTCAAAGAAATGGCATGGAAATTAACCAAAATTAAGCCAAATTCCAACATAAAGATGGGAACTGGGATATGTCAAACTCTTTGGTTTACCTGTATACTTTTTTATGCTTGGATTTGGTCTTCACAAAAAGTGAAATAATACAAAGAAAAGGAAATGATGGTGCAGACAGATTAGTGTCCACCCTTTGCACGATCACTAAAAGTTTGCAAAGGAAAAGCTTCAACTTAATGGCTGGTGGTCTAACAGTTTTGCCTTTTGGTAACATACCACCAGCGGAAATGTTTTTTCGTTTTGGCTTTAACCAAAGGGTGCAGTTTGCGTAGAGCACAGGTTCTAAACAATCAAATTAGAGCCTACCTTCAAATAGTGTCGTGGTTTCAATATTGCAAATATTAGTGATAAAGTTAAAATATAGGTTTATATTTATTTATAAAATTTAAAGCGTCAAACATAGTGTAGATTGACGTATCTATAAAAACTTCAAAATCTTGAAAATTGAAAGTCCATAAATGCGTTACAAAATACATTATTTCCAAAACTTTCAATCCATTTTTTCTGTTGTCCATGCATCTTGATGTTCAGATGATCAATTTGAAAATATTTAAGCATCAAAACAACCTCTTCTAGTGAAATTTAAAACCTCAGCTCTATATGAACTTTTCCCTTAACCAAAAGGGTTTTCTACCTCAGCCCTCCATATTTATATCAAGGGCAAGCTTTTAATGTTTTCCCTACGGCATAAATCTTATATATTTTTCCCTATCCAACCATCCATTATGAACAGACAGCTGAGATGGACCCCATCACAATGTCACATCACTACATTATTTTATTTTAATATTTTTCTACAAAATATTTTGACAGCAAGTTTTGAGCATCCGCTACTCTCTTAAACTCTTACTTGTAAAAAATATAAAAATAATATTCTTAATAAAATAAGATGACTTAAAAACTTTCAAAGGTATTTTGATCATTTTATTTTATCAAAAAATTCTTTTTAATATTTTTTTAGGAGTGTCCCAATGAGAAGATGCCACGTAAAAAATTTCATATTTATACAATTTGTAAAAATAAAAATAAAAATAAAAATAAAAATGCTCTGAAGCATCAGGGACCAAACGATTGATCTAAATGGTTCACTTGATCTCCTGGGATTGAAAACCTGGCTAGATCGAATTCATTGACCCTACTTCTCTTAAATTGTTTGTTTTTCTCGATCAATTTTGGAATGAGAAAAAATGATTTGGAGGGCAAAAAAGTGCCCAATCAAAATCCACTCCAATATTGAAGCCAGACCATCGATTTTGAAAAAGTCATGTTTGGGAAATTTTCTTTTTAGACTTATATTTTGTTCGAAATAGATTTTGGATGCATCAAAAATGATTCTAGGCCCTTTAGTCATTGGACCAGATTTTCCATTTGGTCTAGCAGGACCACGTTAGGTAATTGTAATTTATGTACTCTCAAAAGGGGTTTTCCCTCAAATCCCATAGAAATCCTTTTCTCCTTATTGGAATTATAAGCAAAACTAATAATTTATCACCTTAGCTTTATCCCAACAATTTGGGGTTGCCTACATAAATTTTATTTTATCATTCTACTCTATCAAAAGGTATACCTTCCATCATATAATGCCCAAGCATAAGTATATAATGTGGATCAGGAGTCATGATAGGTATGTGTCAAGGCTGCCAACCTAACATGACCCTCCTCCTTTGTCATCCAGGCTTGACACTAGCAATGAAAGAGTTAAAACATGCATAATTAAAAAAAGGAAAAATATAGAATACAGTAATTTATTTTTGGTATAGAGGGATCACAATCATCATTAGCTATTAAATATCAAATCGGGTGCCTAAGAGTTTGCCTTTGCTATGCTTAAAGTCCCAAAGAAATTTTTTTGGGATTCGTAACGTATCGCAAGCTACTGAATTTCAGATCTGACAGGTATGGTTGATTGTGACATTCTTATACTATAGTTAAAAGGCAAAAAGAAAAAAAAGAATTGGTTTTGAGCGAGAATGTTTATATTGTATCACATGATGTCTGGAAGGAAATTTTGAAATCAAATAAGAAAACGGTAAACGTCATATCGAGATCATATACTATGAGACCATTTATCATTCTTACAAGAATGTCACAATCACTCATAGCCATTAGATGTCAAATCTGGCTTACGATGTGCCATGAAGTTCGAGGCATTTTGTTTTGAATTTTGCATGGCACACTCACAATCACTCCATACCATAAAAACTTTTTAAACTTTGGCACGAAAGGGTTGTAACTCAAATAATAGGCGGGCTTATTTTTTTGGAAAAAAATTGAAGTTACATCCTTATTTTAATCAGCCAATCACAGTACGTCTCCTTTCCATGGCCATCCATCCGCAT